AGAGAGAGAGAGATATTCCACATCATAGGATGAAGGAAGAGAGTGGGGGGTCTATAGAGGTTGAGAGAGGGGCTCATGGGGCTCGAGAGTATTTTTAGAGTTGCGACGATAGGGGTATTAATAAAAAGAAAAATTGTATATAAGGTATCAACATTGTATGGTACGAGCAAAAGGAAAATTGTATATAAGGTGTCAACATTATATGGTACGAGTAAGGTGCATCTAAAAAGCCCACTAGAGAAGGTTGTTTTTATGTTGGAAGCTATTAAATCTATCATCTCAACCTCAAGATTCATAAAGGGATTTTTAGTCCTAAAAATTGTTAATCTTTTAACACATTATCTAGACGGTTCATTTTTAAGATTTTCAAGTGTTATAGATATACTTGATTGTTTTTGGAACTTTAAACTTTATGAGTGGGGACAATGGATTTCATATCATCGCATGGCTTTCCGGCATTGAAACTATATTTTTGTCATAGTTTTGAGGTGCACCTTTTTTCAACAGCATCTTATACAAACCTTACCCTTAATAAAAAAGAAAAGCAAAATTTGCAATTTAGATGGAAAAAAAAATAGAGGGGGTTAAAGATCTTATTTTTGTGACTCGAAGGGAGTCCATGGACTATTCATAGACATGGGAATTTGTTTGGGAAAATTGTTTTATGCTGCTGGACCACGTTTCTACAATATGCGGTCTAGAGGTATAAAGTATCCATCTTAAAGATAGATGCAAATAGGTGGTCCATCTAAAAACAATTGTAATTAACGGTCTAAATGTTTTCTTGATATAATTATTATTTCATTTTTTTTTTTTTGTTCATATTCATGATCTTCATGTTAAAGATTATACATCCTCTAAAAATTAGGATCAAATTATATTTAGGAAAACATATTTATTGTCATGCCCGCATTTATACATTATGTGGGCTGGCTGCATAGAAACCGTATCCGTTTATTTGGGACTAAAGTCACATAAAGGGCAGCAAAAGTATTTTTCCCCAATTACAGTTAGCAAAGTGATCTAAAAACATCCTTGTTGACATCTGATGGTGGTTAAAAATCATAGGAACAGATTGTTCAAAGCTACATTTATTAATGAAGCTACTTTTTATAATTAGTCAAATAAACTTCAGTAACTTAAACCTTTTATAAGCTGAATATTGCCAAATTAAAAAACCGCAAGGCATAACTTTCACATTTAAGTAACTGGAAAAGTAGCATGAGTAACCTAAACTTTTCTAAACATAATATTTTCCGAACTTATAGTTTAAAATTCACATTTTAGTGGACCATATAGCAATTGCTACTCTCTCTCTCGGGGGTGGCAATGGACCTGGTCTCTCTCTCGGGGGTGGCAATGGACCTGGTCCGGTCCAGGTATGGTCCAAAAATTGGATCCGGTGGGTTGGGTCCGGGTTCAAATCTTAGACCTTAATACTATTCGTGTCTGGGACCGGGCAGGCCTCACCTAATAGTGTGGCTACTTAAATAAGGTAAAAGTTTATATAGAGCCGAGGCTCTAAACAATCAAATTTGAGCCTATATCAAAAATTTCACTAGAAGAGGTTGTTTTGATGCCTAAATATCTTCAAATCGATCATCTCAACATCAAGATGCGTGGACATGAGAAAAAAGTGGATTTCAAGTTTTGAAAATAGTGTATTTTATAATGCATTTTTGGACCGTCAATTTTCAACATTTTTAAGTTTTCATAGATCTATCGATCTACACTATGTTTGAAGCTTTAAACTTTATAAATAAAGATGAAAATATATTTTAAGGCTATCACGAATATTTTCAATATCGAAACTACGTTTCTCGATACTATTTGAAGGTAGGCATTTGATAGTTTAGAGCCTAGGCTCGCTACAAAATGCCCCCTTTAAACAATAGTTGATATATAATATTTAAATAACTATATATTTATTGGAAAAGTATACAATGAGTCTATTTACCTATGGTACAAGATAGTGACAATTAATTTTGACCATTATATGTAAAATTGGGGAGCCGCATTTATTCTACTGACCAAGCTTAAAGTTTAAAAGAAATTTTTTCGAACTTTGTCCTACACTCAAGCTATTAGATTTCACATTGAATGGTTATAAATAATTGTGACATCCTCGTACCAAACATATATAATATCATATTTTTTAACTATAATATTTAAATAATACATGCGTATATTTAATAAATTTATAAACTATATTTAAGTATATAGATATTTCAGTTGGGTCCGGGTCCGAAATTATATTTTTGGGTCCACGTCCGGGTCGGGATCCCATAATATTGATTTGGGGTCTAGCCAGACCCAAACCGGACCCGTTGTCACACCTCTCTCTCTCTCTCTCTACTAACTAACCTAAAAGTTTAAGGTAAAGTTTAACATTTATGCCTCCCCATCTCTCTCTCTCTCCGGTCATGAACGTATTTGATGTAGTCATGGTGAGAGAAGAATGTCGACATGGTCTTTGTTTTGAGTGT